GCTCTTCCCGGCGGGTGAGCGACGGCAGCCTCACGGTGCTCTCGGTGAGCCGCGAGGACAGAGGTGCCTACACGTGCCGGGCCTACAGCATCCAGGGGGAGGCCGTGCACACCACGCGCCTGCTCGTGCAAGGTAACGTGGAGCACGGAAACCCTGTCCCGATCCAATTAGTGCCCGGCCGGGAGGGTCTCGTCCCGGAGGCTTGGAGCAGGGCCACGGCGCTGCCCTGGGGACCGCGCGCCCTGCATCTGTTGTGCCCGGTGGCAGCGCGGCCCGGTTAGAGGACAGAAATCCCCTTAATTGGGGCGCCCCGGCGGATGGGCTGTCATGCCGATTAAGCGTCCGTGCCGATTAGCAGCCGGGCTCCGGTCGCGGCTCCGCTCCGCCGGGGAAGATGGAGAATGTCACCGAGCGCCGCGTCAGATAGCGGTGACCTGCTCCCTGGGACTCGTCTCCCTCGTTCGTTAACTAAATGTTTAATTAGGTCAGTGCCTGCTGGCAGAGGGAGATGCCGGCGCTCCGTGGGCCGTGGCGGAGCTGCTGGTGCCGTGGGTGCTGTGATGGAGCGGGCACGGAGGTGACGCTGCTCTCGGTCCCCAGGGCCCCCGTTCATCGTCTCCCCTCCGGAGAACATCACGGTCAACATCTCCCAGGATGCGCTCTTCACGTGCCAGGCCGAGGCGTACCCGGGCAACCTCACCTACCTGTGGTACTGGGAGGAGGAGAACGTCTACTTCAAGAAGTAAGTCCGGGCCCGTCCTCTTGGGGACAAGCCAGCTCCCATGGGATCGTGCATGGTCCCGGATTGCATGGGGTGGCCTCGCTCCCTGCCACAGATGGGGTGGAAATGGGCACGTTTGCACCTCCGGCTCTAATTTTTCCTCCATCCAGCTTGTTTTCCCCCCTTTTTCTCTTCCCCAGCGACCTGAAGCTGCGGGTCCGCATCCTGATCGACGGGACGCTCATCATCTTCCGCGTGAAGCCAGAGGATGCGGGAAAATACACGTGCATCCCCAGCAACAGCCTCGGCCGCTCGCCATCAGCCTCTGCCTACCTGACGGTGCAGTGTGAGTGGGGACAGCGGGGCCCTTTCGGGGTTCCCCCTATCAAATCCCTGCTTTTGCGCTTCCCGGCGCGTATTACGGAAGCTGCTCCTCGTGGCCTGGCTCTCCGGGCGTTTGCCAGGAATGTTTTGGGGCAGTAAACGATCTAAACACGCGCAGGGGAACGGGCTCTGGACGGCGCGTTTCTTCCCACGCCTGTTCTTTCGGGCTCCCCCTGCTTTAATACGCAGTGTGCCGCGAACGTCCTGTGGCATTCAGCAGTAATGGCCTAAATTGCTACGTTCTGCAAGCGCGCTATTGCTCTGCTGCAAAACATAGTAGCGTTTTTGATTTTATAATGAAAGATAGGCCAGGACAAACCGGGCTCGAGAGCCTGTTCTGGAAGCCTTGGCGCTTGGGAGGGTAAATCCACCGCTGGCAAACGCAGCCTAATGAAAACCCTGCGCCCGGCGTTCGCTTTCGGAGCGCTGCTGGAGGGGTGGGATGACGGGCAGGAGATGGAGCTGCCTGGATGCTGTGCTTGGGAAGCCTTTGCTGGGGCACATGCTTTGGAAAAAGGCTTTCTCCATGCTCTGGGGAGTACCTGTTGCCCTCTCGTTCCATGCAAAGAAGGGCACCACTGGCTGCGCCGCCGGAGCACAGCTCCAAAACGTGCTTGCTTTTTGCAAAATGAAACAATAGGAAAAGGAGATCTTGATTCCGGGGATCTTAATTCCATTTCTAGGCTATAGCACCTCTGCATTTAATTCTGTTTCTTCTCCCCCTCAGGGCAGGCTTTGGTCAAACCAGAGCTGGGAGGAACACGGGCGGCAAATATAATCCCCCTCTTACGGCAGCAAGGCCGCAGTAAATTCCCTCATTGATTTTGCTGCATTAATCCCAGAAAATAACTTTTCTGAGGTGCCAGGTTCTGCCCCCAGGCACGCCGGGCTGCATCCATATTTTCCAGGGGCCGGGATGTACCTTTTCCCACACTTGTAGCATTGCACCGGGCCGCTTTGCCTGCTGCAGAGCGGTGATTCCTCCCTTAGCGTAGCGTAAGCCCTGCGAGCAGCCTCCCGTGTCTAGACGGGTTTGTAGAAATACTCGCTCTTCTCATTAGAAGTAACTTTTTTTTTCTTTTTCTTTTTTTTTTTCTTATTAAAGAAAGTCTAGATTCCCTCCAACCCACTCGCACTTAATTAAAAAGCTCTTAGAAGTGCTGTTAATGACACGTTCTAGACTGGAGGATTGCTAGACGCCTTAATGTGTGGGTGGCGACACTCGGGGAGGTTAGATACCTATTTTAAGCTTTTTGCATCCCGTTTGGAAGGGTGGAGGAGGCTAATTCTGAGCACAACCCCGGCTCGATTAGGCCTGGGGTGCGAGGACAAACAAATAGGAGGTAACTGGTGAGAGGACGTAACCTGCTGCTGCCCTCCCAGATCCTGCCCGCGTGGTGAACATGCCCCCCGTCATCTACGTTCCCATCGGGATACACGGATACATCCGCTGTCCGGTCGAGGAAGACCCGCCGGTCACTCTGGTAAGTGGAGCAAGGACGTCCGGCCCCTGCGGATCGAAAAGGTAAAAGAGGCCCCGGGGGACCGGTGAGAGCTCCCCTTGGATGCAGGGAAAAGGCCCTTCCCGGCGGGAAGGGCTCCCAGCGGCTGCAGCTCTCGCCGGCAGATGTGGCGCTCGGCGCAGACTCCGTGGGTGGGATTCGTCTCGCCTAATTTTAGAGCTCTCCAGCGCTGGTGTCTGCGCTGAGGTCTCGCCTCCGAGGCGGCTCTTGCAGTCAATGGGAAGGGAATTGCTTCCAGGAAGCGGTTTTCCCTCTCAGCTGAGACGGTTACCCCTGGGTGGGATGAATCACACCCTAGGCGGACCTATTTCTCCTCATTAACTGGAGAAGGAGTCTAGATGCAGAGCCCAGGTGGAGGCTGCAGGAAAGTTTTAGCTGGAGCTGGCTTTTTTTCCCCTTTTCCTCATTTGAGATGCGTTGGAGATGGGTTGGGAATTGAGCTGGACGCTTGCAAGGGATTTGGGCATCTCCTAGAGACCTCACGGCCACCCTGGGCTTAGGATGTTGAGGTTGTCTGCAAAACACCCTGTGGTGCGGGATGCGTGTCAACTCCGTCCCTCTTCCCGCCCCAGTATTCCGGCTGGAACCTGCTGGAAGACGGCTCCATCCGCATAGAGGAGGCAACCGAAGACGCTCTCGGCACTTACACCTGCGTGCCTTATAACGCCCTGGGGACGATGGGCCAGTCTCCCCCTGCCCGACTGGTGCTGAAGGTAACGTTCCCCGGCACCCTCACCCTGCAGCCTGCAAGGCAGCTTGCTTTGTGCTCAGGAGCTTTTTCACTGTGGATTTTGGTACCTGCATGTTGCTAGTTCTGGTTTCCTGTTGAGTACAGCCCTGCCAAGGCGGATTTTTTTTTACGCTGCTATTTAGTTTTCTGATTTTGTGCAGAAGCTGATGTTTTTCTTGACTGTTCCAAGAGGGGCTTAGGCGCTCCGCAGCCTTTGGCACCCGCGTGGCTCGGCTCAATAACGAGCCTGGTCTCTCGTGTCAGCGCTGAGCACCATGCACGCGGGGCCTGGCGCCCCTTGCAATGGCAGCAGCGCCCTCGGGGCGCGCGGGCTGCCAGGAAGCCCTTTGCAGGGCTGCAAATGCCCCGGAGATGCAGTGCGGCGAGCGTGCCGCGCGCCTG